GTATATAAAGGGCTCGCTCTCTTTTTTTTTTTTTTTTTTTTTTTTTTTTGAAACAGGTACGGAATTTATAAGGTTACCCAAAATTTCTTAACACAGAGAAGACGGGAATAACATCTTACTAGTTTGTTAGATTGCTTTGAGGTTTGACTTTTAAAGATTACAGCTTTCATTCTCATTTTTTCACCAGGTGAAAGTTTTATTTGTGAGAAACTTGGCCACTACTGTGACAGAAGAAATTCTTGAGAAATCCTTTTCTGAATTTGGAAAGCTGGAAAGAGTAAAGAAGTTGAAGGATTATGCTTTTGTTCATTTTGAGGACAGAGGTGCAGCAGTGAAGGTAGGTTGATTGTTCTTTCCTAGCTAAATTGATGTGAGGAGTTAATGTTGTACAAATGGTTTTAAGAAATTTCTTTACAGTAAATATCTAGATAAGACGATTTGTAGAGCCCGTTTAATAAGGTTCCCATTGTGAGAAATTTAACACTAATAATTTTGTTCCTATGATTTCAGTAGCTAGGAGGATGTGAAACTTGCAAAGGACAAAACTGTAGCAAGTTAACAAGTAGACTGGAAAAGAGGTATAGACCAATGCAGGAGAGTCTAGAGAAGAGGAAAAAAAAAAAGATCAACCTAGACAATTTTTCTGAGGAAACACTGACAGAAGGTATCAGTTGTCTCTTGAAGACCCCTATTTAAAGGCTGTGTGTAGTTTTGGAGTGACAAAAGTATTGAACAGAAATTGCAAGGTAATTCAAAAAATGCCTTGTGAAGGGGAGAAGAATGGCACTTGCAACTCCCCTTAATGCATTACCTATTTTTAACTCTACATGCTTCCTAGAAGGTTTCTTCTAAATGACGACTTAAACATTGGAGGTCATTATTGTAAGCTTCAAAGGTGTTTTCCTTTGTATCTAAGAGCAGTTGAGAAGATCATTAATCTCTGCTGTTTGTACTTCAGTGGATTGAATTCTATAGAAATTACTCCATCTGTTTTTTAAATCCATAGTTTATGGGGGAAGAAGGAGGAGAGGAAGTGTTTTGCACCTGGGAGTCTTGAGCAAGTATATTGTATGTCATTGTATGTGGCTACATAGACAATTCAAAGGCTCTTTACTCAACCTTATTAATCGTTTTATAACCATTTAATTGCTTACAATTTTCCTACCCACTGAAATAGGGTTTAGAATACTCTTGAGTTTGGCTTTAGGATGAAGGTCACTCATATTTAATGAAGTTGAAGTCAGTTTGGATAGGTTTAGACCCATGTCAAAGAGAGGGTAAGAGGTTGTTGACAGAAGGGGTAAGTCAACAACACCTCCTGACATGTTTTATTGTAGTATGTCTTTAAACACTCTCCAGTCCCTTTCTAGTTGACCTTACTTCTAAATGCTCTGTTAGATGTTAGCAACTGAAAACTTGTAGTGGATGAGAAAAGATAGAACAAATGCAGTACAGCAGAGCATCTCTAATGCTCATCTTCTCTGAAACAAGCTGGAATACTACCACATCTGCCCCATGTGACTGATTTATGGCCACTAAATTGGTTTATGAATTTTGTGAGACATTTTTGTGTACGGGTGTGGTGTTTGTTTTTTAATGAAAGCATTATTGTGATATTAATCCATGGAATTGGCTCATTGATTCCACTATCTACTTACTTTCATACCTTCCTCAATAATCGACATGATCTCTAATGTTCTTGAGGCGTGTAGCTGTACAGACATCTAAAGTCTTTGTTAATGCAAATATTAATACCCAGAAATGTTAAATGCAAAGCAGATAGCCCCAGGTAAAGAATTGGGGGGGTGTAGTCCTAATCGTACTTCGTGTGTGTATATTAAGTTCTCTTTGTGCGTGTATTTGATAATTACAAATTATACATTACTTTTCTGGAGGATTCTTGCCTCACTTGCTGAGATCACCAAGTTTCACTAATTTTTTTTTTTTTTTTTCCCCCCCTTAAGTATGTCCCCTCAGAAATACTTGATTTCCTCAGAGGCACTCATGTAGCACATTCAACTAGCTAGGAAGTGCAAATATAAAAATACTCTCTCTTGTGTGCGTGTGCTCTACCTGGCTTACAAGTACAGTGAGTGGTCTTCGTGTCAGTGTGAGTAGTGAGAACTTCTGTCAATGTATTTCTGAAACATTTGTAGGGGATATAGGAACATAAAAAGTGATGGTGGTGTGTCTGATTTTTTTTTTTTTAAATAATGCTCAGTATGTTTTAATCCTATTCTTTTACCTTATGATATAAAGATAATATTTTTTTTAAATGCTGCTTCACTGTAACTGGTGAATAAAGTGGGACTTAAAAGAATAATATGTAACATTCTGTTTAAGTAGCACAGAAATGAAGCACATGGCATAGTTCAGCCTGGAGCAGCCCAACCATCTGGTTTCTTTCAGTAAGTTTTCATTTCCTTTTGAATGGAAACAAATTTTTAGATGTTTCTCTTCTAATTTTTGTACAGGCTATGAATGAAATGAATGGGAAAGAGATAGAAGGGGAAGAAATTGAAATAGTGTTAGCAAAGCCACCGGATAAGAAAAGGAAAGAACGTCAGGCTGCCAGACAGGCCTCCAGAAGTACTGCGTGAGTGTTCATTCTTGCACTACTGTAATACTGCAGAATGAAGTTCTGCTGTAAAATATGAGCTAGTTCAGAAAAACCTGAATGACTTTTTTTTCTCCATGTTGTGTATTGTTAATCAACAAGGGGAAATTTAGACTTTATTTTGGGAGACTTTTGAAGATAAATAATTGCATGTTTCTTTTTCTTAATAGGTATGAAGACTATTATTACTACCCTCCACCTCGCATGCCACCTCCTATTAGAGGCAGAGGCCGTGGAGGGAGAGGTGGATATGGCTATCCCCCAGATTACTATGGCTATGAAGATTATTATGATGATTATTATGGTTATGACTATCATGACTACCGTGGTGGCTATGAAGATCCCTATTACGGCTATGATGATGGCTATGCTATAAGAGGAAGAGGAGGAGGAGGAAGGGGTGGGAGAGGTGCCCCTCCACCACCTAGGGGGCGGGGAGCACCACCACCAAGAGGTAGAGCTGGCTATTCACAGAGGGGGGCACCCATGGGACCGCCAAGAGGAGCCAGGGGTGGGAGAGGGGGTCCTGCACAGCAGCAGAGAGGACGTGGTGCTCGTGGAGCCAGGGGCAACCGTGGGGGCAACGTAGGAGGCAAGAGAAAGGCAGATGGGTACAACCAACCTGATTCCAAGCGCCGTCAGACCAACAACCAGCAGAACTGGGGCTCCCAACCCATCGCTCAACAGCCGCTCCAGCAAGGTGGTGACTATGCCGGTAACTATGGTTACAATAATGACAACCAGGAATTTTATCAGGATACTTATGGGCAACAGTGGAAGTAGACAAGTGAGGAGGGATTGAGAATATTGGAAACATAGAATTGGCTATAGCTCTACATCCTTCAAAACAAAATTGGCTTAATGTTTCATCCTTCAGTAGCGATTGGCTGCCATTTGTATTGGGCTGAAGAATCACTCTATTGTGTATATACTCGAGTCTCTTAGTTTTCTTTTTTTCATAAACGCACTTGGACATTACTGGGCTTGCAGAATTCCTGAACTCCACATGGGGTTTCAATGCTTTTATCATTTTAGGCTTCATTTTAGCAGTTTAAAAGCAGGAATGGCACACTGTTCAATCATGATTTTGCAGAACCTCTGGTTTCGGACAGGGCCGTTTTTTTTTTTTTTTTTTTTTTTTGGATTTGGGATAGACTACATAGGAGTATGCTGTACATAAAAGTAAAAGCTAGTGCTTTGTCTTAGTAGTTTTAAGAAATTACAACAAATTAAGTTTTCTTGTATTGAAAATAACATGATTGTATGTTTTGCATTCCTAGAAGTAGGTTAACTGTGTTTTTAAATTGTTATAACTTCACACCTTTTTGAAAATCTGCCCTACAAAATTTGTTTGGCTTAAAACGTCAAAGCCGTGGCAATTTGTTCCTTGATGTGATTGTATTTCCAATTTCTTGTTCATGTAAGATTTCAATAAAACTCAAAAATCTATTCAAAACATTACCTATTTCAAATTCAATTGTGTCCTAAAACATTATTTCATTGGTAATTCTTGCGAAAAACATTGTTTTCAAAGTATAACTGCCTATGTGAGTGATCAAATTCATGCAAAATTTCTTGTGCTTTCCAACATGTAGCACTGTGGACATCAGACTGAAAACTAGGAGAAATTACAGATAGCCCAAAGGGCACTCTTTGTTTAATTGCTGTTCAATAACTTACCAGCATCTAATTCTGAAACTTTTTTTTTTCTTTTAAAAAGTGTTGAAATGTATCCAAATATTCACGGAGATCTAATTTAAGTATAATTTTCTAATGTAATGTGGAGAAGGAAGCAGAGCCTACAATGGTGTTAATTTTGTTCCTTTTTATTATGTACTGTGGAGTCCCTCTAGAGGCTATTCTGTTAGGATCCAGCTATATTGTATTATTCAGCGTACAAACATAGGGAAATGGTTTTGATGTCAAGCATCTTAGTCTAATTTAAGATAATATTATTTGACTAGGGATGAGAATTATAAATTAGGTGCTGTGGCACAGTAAACTAACTTCTTGCTACAGATAACACAAACATACTCTGCATATTCTGCTTATTTCTGTCTTGACATTTTAATTTGATGTTCTGCCATGATGAACAATTTGCCTTAGAATTCTCATGCCTTGTAATAAAGGCTGTTTAAAAAAAAAAACCGTAATATCTTTTGGGGGCATTACTAGCTACATTATTGGGGTATTATGTGTTGCTTTGACCCTTGTCTTGGACATTCCCAGATGTCAATTTTAACTGGCAAGTCATGACATTACTCTTCTGTTGCATCTGAGCCATTCTGTACCCCAATGAAGAACATTTGCTTCTCAAGAAAAGAGAGAAACAAAAGGATTTAAACTTTCTCTAAAGAAAACTATTGCTGGACCTCTAAATATCCAAATCAAATACATTGCTCATACTTGATTTACAGCATTCTAAACACAGACTATTGAGGAAGTTAAACTTCAGTGGTCATACTCCTCCCTTTGTCTTCTATTCCTGTCTGGTGTCTCTCAAGTGTATTATGTCAGAATGTAAACAAAGATGAGCCTTCCCACGCTTTATTGTTGTGGGTCTGGTTATTTAATTGCATGGTTTGAGTTTTGACCTGAACTGAGGTGAGGGTGTATATCTGGTTCTCAAAAATGTGTTTGCCCCTGTGTCAGGCTCTTCCTGTCAAATTAATAGAATTGGTCATAAATAATTTAAAGTGATTTTCAAAATTAGTATTTAGTATGTTAAAGCCCTTTTTGTTCTTTTTTCTTTTTTTTAACTTCATAAAGTTAATGGGGCCAAATCCTGTCCTCTCTGTTCCTTACTTGAGCAGTGAAGTCAGAGGGGTATTGCCTGAGTATATGTTTCAGGCTTTTGCTTGTGGTAGGGATCTGGCTTGTAATTTTGTTTTAATACAAGGGTTTGCTGTCCTATCAGTATGACTTTATAGTAATTATATATCGCTTTTTGTGGCATTGAGCAGAACCCTGTAGTCCCAATACGTATTTGCTTTTCAGTAATCATTACATAAGGGGATCTGGTACAAGGGAGCTTAATTGGAATCAAATTTTAAGTACTCTCCATCCTGGAAGAAAGATAGCATTCACGTACTGCATGTTTCAAGTGTTAACCCAGAAGAGGTGAAGTGCCAGTGCATGCTTACGGGGGGTGGGGTGGGGAGGAAGTGAAACACTTCATTTATAATGTTTACAAAACAATTAAGGAACAAAAATGCTAAAATTGTCTTCCTCGAGAATTGTAAAGCTGCATCTTGTATTTATTTCTGCCCAAATCACCATTTATCCTAATATTTTTATTGAATATGAGAAGTTTAATAAGTTTAATAATTGAAAATTAAAACCAGTAGAAGTTTATATTTACAAGATATACCAAGTTCTTTGATTTACATGATTTATGGATACTCAGATTCACCATTTAAATTTGCAGCAGTGCTTTACTGAACCCTTAAAGATAACGCGTACTACAGCTTACTTGAGTAGTGGTGTATACTGAACTTGAAGAACTTAACAAAATTATTGAGAAAAAAAAAAATACTGAACAAAGATACTGTAGCACAGTGGAAAAATCTACCATGCCTGATGACAGATACTCAAGGGAAGAATTTTGCACATCATCTCAGCACAATTTTGATACATAGTCAAAACAAAAAATAAATTTAAACTTACTCTCGTGCACCTGTTTTGATCATTTCTTATATATAATTTAGCAAAAATCCTCTTGTAGAATATGTTGAAAATGAAATTCAACTTGCAAACCAATATTAAACTCTTACAAGTGTCCTGCTGGCGTTGGAGGAGGAGCCATGAAATGGGATTTTAATAATCATTTGATCACTCATTTATAGCAGTTGCTTAAATGTCTGTATTGATAAGGTGTTTGACTTAAAAATAAGTAGGTTGCCAGATACCTAGCAATTCCAAAACTTGAGCAAAAGATTTTTACAGCTGTTGTGTTGTTATAGACTTATTTCACATTATTAGCAAAATCAGTTTACTAAACTCAGCTTTTAATTTTATTAGTTCATTAAACATAGTCTGCATTTTTTTCAAAGCATTAAAGGTTTAATTTTTTTATAGCAATTGTTTATTATCAGGACTCAGCTGCTGTAGTCTAATTATTAGAAAGAATGACAACTGCATTGCTTAAACCTTTTCAAAATAAACTCTTAAGTAGAAGATCACCGCATTATTTTGGTGACTGTATAAAAACCTGACCACTTTTTGTCCCCCCTGCATTTGGACGTGAAGCCCATTTCTGTATTTTGAACTACACAGAAAAAAAAAATACAGAAGCACTCTTATTATAAGGCTAGCAGAAAAATAGATGTGAAGTATTGAGCAAAAAGTCTTAAACCTCTCAGTAGAACATGTTTGGCACCTAGACCTGTAGACTGTAATGCAGATGTGTGTATTTTCAGCAAGACTTAATTGTTATCCAAAAATGATGGTGGCCCATATGTAGAACAGCAAGGACCCTATCCTACAAATCTGTCATGGTCGTGCATGACTTGAGTTGGAGTACTTGTGTGATTAAGGATTGCTTGTATGATGAAGGTTTGCCAGATTGAATTCTGTCATTCACATGAACTACTTAAGTAGATCAGAGCCTTATAGAAAGAGTGTACCAAGTTGTGTTTCCTGGTTTTTTCTAAATAAAAAAAGAAAAAAAGCTAGAGCTTCTGTTAACTTAGAATTTGAATGAAGCTGTTGTAGTCTATTGGCTTAAAATATCCTTTGAAACCCAGAGTGGCTAAGTTGAGCATATATTAGTTGATAAAATGTGTAGAGTAGGGGGGGGGGAAATCATTCGTGTTAAAGGGAAATCTTAAGCTTTTGTTCTCATTCAAACAAAATCATCAAGGTGGTTCTACACTATTTGGTTATTGATCAGGAACTTTTGAAATTTTAGAACAGGAAAATCCCTCTGAAGAAATGTTTTAACAACTTGGAGGTTACCAGAAGCTCTGAAAGACAGTTCAGAATATATTGCATCACATTTTCTGATGTCCAGAAATCTGCAAGTGTCAATTTTGTATTTTAACTCCTTCCTTTTACCTGACTATCAGGGAAGCGTGGTTGAGGCTGACCTGACATGTCATGATGTCGACTTGCTAGGTGGGGTTCGCAAGGGACATTAACCTTGGAGTTATCGGTAAGACAACTTTCTTTCTAATTTCCTTCAGTAAGATTAAAGGGCTGGGGTGGGAGGAGGGAGGAGATAAGCTCCACAGACCTGATCACTGGAATATTGTTGAAAATCTGCCATTACCATGGAGAGATTCCAAGCACTGAAGGTAAAGGTTAAATTTAGATCCGTCCATGTCCAAGAGGAGCATGGCTTTCGTTCTTATAATGGAAATAAATTTGAAAATAAAGATGACTTGCGCTTCAAAAGAAAACTGGATGCTATTTTAGGGATGCTGGAAGCATAAAAGATTTTGAACACTTAAATTTTTCCTCTGTAATTAAACCCAGGTATGGGGTTTTTTTGTTCCCCCACCATGAAAAAGCAAAGAACTTACAGCACACTTCAAAGTCTAAGAATGCTGTTGAGAAATGTGTCCAAGTAGATCTCTGTAAAATAATAAAATTCTATCTTGAAAATAACAACAAAACTGGCATATCATGAGTTTGGATTATTTACCTATTGAATGTGATAATGCTTGGAAGGCATTAATTGAGAAAGAATTGCTGTTAAACCAAGGGACAGTTGTAGTTGATCCCATTATAAAACCACTGGATTTTAGTAATCATCTTTTTTGTGGAGGGCATGATACATTGATTCTAGACAAACAAATAGCAAAAGCTGAAGAACAGATTTGCAAATCAAACCTGAAATACTTGGACATGTTGAATCCTTCATGGCACCTGCTCATCTTGCACGTTTCCTCAGCCAGAAGTGTCAAGACCTTTCTTTTCCTGATTGTACGTTTATGCAGTACTTTGGAAGGAGCAGAGAAGTCGGAAAGAGCTTGCTAGGCTATAGGAGCATTCCAGGTTCAGTTATTCTTTATCGTGGAACTGAATAGCATGCCAGTTCTGACACCAACTACGGAAGAAATGTAACTGGTGAGTAGAGGTATTTTGTAAGGATTTTTTCAGATATGAAGTATTTGTTTAATTCCAGATAAACTTTGCTTGGCATACCTCGATTCGAAAACAGTTTTGATCACACAAAGTCATCAACGCTGTTTCACTTGAAAGATCTTAAACAGAAATAAGAGGATCTCTTAACTCTGGATTCTCCAATCTGCATGGTCACATGGAGTTACTGATAATAAGGGGTGTAGTAGGACTTGTTGAATATGCTTGGGTGGCCCGGGTCTTGGAAATGAAGCAGATGGCAAGCTTGTTACAGGGAAAAAAAAAACAAAACTGAGTGGATTGGCTTTCGTACATGTGGAATTTGGAGATAACTGTAGGAATACACAATGGGCCGTACTCCTTTCATAAAACAGAAACATCAGTCTCTTATCAGTGAGGTTTATGAATTTAAAACACAACTTCAAAATGTATTTCTGTGATTATAATCTGCCAAATTGCATTAAATGCAGAAAAAGAAAGGAAGAATGAAGAGCAGACCAAACTTTAGTTCTGCCCTCCTTGCGTTAAGTACACACTTTCTTCCTTCCTTAGCACCAGTGAGCATGCAGTCTTGCTCATTAATTTTCCTGTTGAACTTTCTGCAGAGCTTGTGTAAGTGTAGGATACACAATAACTTCTTTCTCTTTTTTAAATCATCACAGCGGCCTCTGTGAGAGGTGGTTGTATTTCCATTCTAATTTCAAGGAATGAGTGTCCGTTGTATCAGTACCTGTTCACATGACATTATTCTGACGTACCTTCCAGACATTTCCAATTCAGCGTGCAGAAAATGCATACCCAGCTTGAACTTAAGAGGGGATGTGGTGTAAGCGTTAATTTTGTGATAGGAAAGGAAATCTAATTCTGGAGAGCATTCAGCTGTCTTAGCAATGGATGGTCTTTTCTCTTTTTAAATTCCCTGTTGTGCTGCTTTAACTTCTGCAGAAAAAGGGGTAGTGAACCACTGCACGGGCTAAAAGTCCTGTGATTAAAAATTGTTCAAGTGCGTAATTGAAGATAGTATCATAATGCATGTACTCAGGAGAACTGAATACATGTTGCACAGGCAGTAATTTGATGTTTCTTATGCTCACTTTTTAACCAGTTCCTGGATGCAGACTGCTTTCTGAAAGAATTCTTTGAAGCATGTTCTAAGGTGCCATGTTGAACCCTACTTTTAAGTAATCAGGTTTTAAAATTCAGTATATTGAACCAGTGAGGTAGAGAATTAGTGTAACTTTTTGCTGGTAGTACCTATAGAACAAACACCAAAAAAGATAAGAAAACCTTGTTTTAAGTTTCATGTCTGTTTTATCAAGACCAGAGATCTTGAACTCATCCTTATGCGTTTTCAGTCAAAATCAATTGCAATTACAGATTTTTCTCCCCATTGTTCTGGGTGAGCTCTTTCCTCCTTTTTGTTCTGCTCAGTGCTGGCAGTAGCAACACTGAGATCACAGGAGAGGAATTCTTCCTACTCTCAGTATTGTGCATCCATGAGATTGTAGCAGCTTGGAAGAACCATTGCAATGATCTTTATTTTCATGCAAATCTTTCCTGAGTGATTTCTGCTCTGTAACTTGCAAATACTGGAGCCAGCATGCAACTTATCTGCAAGAATTTAATAATGCAGTTATGTTGAAATGCTACTGATCTCAACATCCAAACCATCTTAATGTGATTTTCCCGGAGATTCTGTCTGAGGTCAGATATTTAGAATGGAGCATTCCGCTTTGAACAGTGGGAAGAGGTTACGAGCAGCTGAAGACAACCTCATAAGCAGTTGATGAGCAGCTTGACAAAATAATTGGTGTTGCTGTTAATTCACTTACCAGTCCTTGACACCTCCACTTACCCAGTAGAACCTAGAACTGAACATAAATGATTCTTCCTGTAAGGCAGCAGGTCAAGCCTGTTAGTTAATATTTTATCACTTTATTTCCCCCTTGAACAACCAGCAGTAGTAGCCGTTCTTAGGGTATGAAATCTTCCCCATGTTTCCCATTTTCTTTTGTTTCTGCTGGTTTGCTGGCTGTTACTGTGCACTCAGGTTGTTGCCCATCAGAGGAGTTGGGAGCAAATATGTTCTGCTTATTTTTTTCTCTTGAAGGTATTGGAAAGAGGAGAGGTAGAAAAACCATATAGCTGAGGAAGTCTAAGCCTGCAGCCCACTATCAGCAGCTGTGAGGGGTCCTGCTTTTAGTTAGAAGAAAAATTTTCTCTTGTCTGCCTTCTCTTCTGATAAAGTTCATATTGAAGAGCTTGCGCTGATCTGGTACTTCTCACCAGGTCTTTGTTGCAGAGCTCTTCTGTGAGCTTGCTCTGAGTGGGAAGTGTACTGGAAACTGCCACTTTGAAGGCTGGGATGCACTTAAGGCTGATTTTTTTTCAGTGCAGGAATAAATGATAAAGTTCATATTGAAGAGCTTGCGCTGATCTGGTACTTCTCACCAGGTCTTTGTTGCAGAGCTCTTCTGTGAGCTTGCTCTGAGTGGGAAGTGTACTGGAAACTGCCACTTTGAAGGCTGGGATGCACTTAAGGCTGATTTTTTTTCAGTGCGAAGGAATAAATTACTCTGTTAAATTAAATAAATAAAATTACATTGTTAAATGCAGAACAAACTCATCCTGTGGATGTCTTTAGGCAGGTTCTAGGTATCGTGCATCAGATAAGAACAATCTTGTGAGATGTCTGTGAACCAGCTGCTGAGCCTTCTAGGCAATTGCACACATTTCCTTTGTCTGATCTAAGTGCTCCATGTTAGTAGATCGTTTGTACAGGAGAGGCTTTAACATCTTTGTAATACACTAATCCATAGATAAATGTATGGATTAACTTTTGCATGTGATGCCTCAACAAGATTAGTTTTTCCTTTGGAAATGTAAGGAGTCTCTTGTGGGGGTTTTTTGACAGAAGAGAGCTTTTGGCTACAGTTGGGTGTCAGTGCGTAGATACTTCAGCTCCAATTTCTTTAAAGGGGTGTGTGTGTTCTGATTAATACCGCATCTGTGGTGAATTGCATTGAACTAGAGTAGTCCTAATTTTTAGTCTTGAAACTAGTTTTTATCCTGCTATACTTGGCTTGCAACTTACCTTTCTGCTTTGTTGTGAATGCTGTGTTGAGGAGATCAAAGCTGTGTATTCAGCATCTTGCACGCAGACAAGTTAGCCTGTTCTCTGGCTGCTAGTTACGTTCTACCTGCGTGACAGAGAAGATAGGATTAGTTCTTGTCTAGCAACTTCTGAAAAGCTGCTGAGCTTCCATCAGGAATACTTTTGAAAGTGTTGGAGCAAAAGAGAGCAGTGGCTTGGTATGCTGGGGTGTATAGTCATTTTTGATAGCAAGGAACTACCTAAAAAAGTTAGGTTAAACTCACTGGGGGAATCTCCAGATAGGCAAAAGGCAAATTATTTAGCTGTGTTTTTAGAACCGCTTAAATAATTTCTATTCTTGCTTATGGAAATTATTTTCTTAAAGCACTGGGTAACTAGTTGCTTAAGTTTGTGGGCAGAGCTGTAGCAACGGTGTCTTAAAAAATATTTTGTTACAAAAAAATTTATATGGGTGGGGCAAAAAGCTTTTTCTCCTCTGAATAAGCTTTATTTTAAGTACTTGCACTAAAAACTAAAGGAATATAACCCAGTTCAGTTGACTTGTACAGTTTCTATGTAGAAATCCATTTTTTAAGTCATATGAGTACCCAAAACTGGC